CCAGTCTGTTATCCCTACTAATTTTTTATATCCCACCTTTTTGTCCTTCCTTCTTTTTTATACAGAACCTAGTTAATATCTGACCAAAATAAGCATTCATTTAAATAAGCTTCAAATTTTATTTCTGTGACTTGAAAAGCCCTATTATTTAACTAAAGCAGGATCCCAACAACTGAATGTGGCTAAAGTAAAACACAGCTGTGTTAATTAATTTCAGCTGGGGTGGATCATGTTTTGGTGGGCTATATAAGGACAAGAAGATGGGATATAAATAATTAGTAGAGCCCTAAGTGTTATAGAATGTGAGATCTCTTCATGAAGAATAAAAGATTATGAATATAGAATTCCCACAACCAATTCAATGCCACTTGACAAGGATAAATTATATCAGAAAAAGAAAACAGTCTTAATAAATTTTGGTTAAAATATCTTATTTTTACAAACTCTATAAAAAATGTATGACCATTTGAAAACACTGTTAGAGGGGCGCCTGGGCGGCTCAGTAGTTAAGCGTCTGCCTTCGGCTCATGTCATGATCCCAGGGTACTGGGATCGAGCCCTGCATCAGGCTCCCTGCTCAGCCAGGAGCCTGCTTCTCCCTCTCCCGCCCCCCCTGCTTGTGTTCCCTCTCTAGCTGTCTCTCTCTGTGTCAAATAAATAAATAAATAAATCTTAAAAAAAAAAAAAAAGAAAAAAACACTGTTAGAGACACTCAAAAGACTTTACAAGGGATTGGGGTCAGTTAGAGGCCCTCATATTTAAGCTTCATTAGTACTACAGTAAATTTACTGCTGAGTAGAACTTAAATTCTATGACTATAAATATCAAGTCACATTCACCACTACCAAAAAATTTTTAGACAATTCAGTTTTTCTGAGAACTATTTCACATCTTATTACTCTTCATTCCTAATACCCACATCATCCTCATTTTAAAGCTGATAATCTTCCCAAATAATTAATAGAGGACATAGAAGCAATCAAATGAAAATTACCTCTTTCTCTTGCTAGGCTATTTGTGTCTGTCTTTACATACTCTGTGTTCCTCTCTATTAACATATGATAACAGAAGCAGCTCTTACATAGGAGTTCCGGTCACCCACACACTTGCCAAATGGATGCCATTTACTCTTTTTTAAAGAAGATTTTATTTATTTATTTGAGAGAGAGAGAAAGAGCATGGGGGGGGGAGCTGCAGAGGGAAAGGGAGAAGTGATCCCAAGACCTTGACATCATGACCTGAGCCAAAAGGCAGACACTTAACCAACTAAGCCACCCAGGCACCCCTGGATGCCATTTACTCCTACACATTTAGGGGCTTTGCAACTACAATTATCTCCTCTTTCCCATGAATTATCATTATTTCTCTCTACTTTAATATGAACATTGCATAATATTGCTCATCTTAGAAAAGAAGAAAACACAAGATAAAATAGAGCCCTGCCTTCCAGCTCTGCCCTCCTATTCTTTATAGCAAATCTTAAGTGCACATTCCTGTTTCCATGAACTCACATTCCATTTTCTATTCAATCCATTCAAACAAGGATTATCTCAAATTATCATAGTCTAAATCCAAAGTCATTTTTTTCATCAATTTAAAAGTACTTTCATGATTTCTTTTATTTAGTTTTTAAAAAATTATATATACTTAAAGTTTACATTTGGTTTTTACCTTCCGAGTTACAGAAATTCCTTATATATTTTGGATATTAACGTTTTACCACATTAGTGGTTATCACATAAATGGTTTGAAATAGATTTTCTCTCATTAAGTAGGTTGGCTTTTCAAATTATTGAAAGTTTTTGTTTTGTTTTGTTTTCTGTACAGAAGCCTTTTAATTTAACATAGTCCCACTTGATTTTTTAGTTTGTTTCCTGTGCTTTTGGTGTCATGTGTAAAAAAAAAAATGCCAAGACCAGTGTCAAGGAGAGTCTTCCCTATATTTCTTCTGGGAGTTTTATAGTTTTAGTTCTTGTATTTAAGTCCTTAATCCATTTCAATTTAATTTTGTAAGTGGTGTAAGATAGGGGTCCAGCCAATTTAATTCTTCTGCATGTGGCTGGCCAGTTTTCCTAACACCATTTGTTGAAGAGATGATTTTTTCCCCCATGTGTGTTGCTGACATCCTTGTCAAAGTTTTTTTCTGGGCTCTTCATTCTGTTTTATTGGTATATGTGTCTGTTTTTTTATGCCAGTATCATACTGCTTTGATTACTATGGCTTTATAATATTGTTTGAAATAAGGAAATGTGATACCTCCAGCTTTGTTCTTCTTTTTCCAGATTGCTTTGACTATTTGGGGTCTTTTGTGGCTTTGTGCAAATGTTAGGATTTTTTTTCTATATCTGTGAAAAATGCCACTTGAATTTTAATAGAGATTCATTGAATCTCTAGATTGCTTTGGGTAGTATAGACATTTTAACATTATTAAATATTCCAATCCATAAACACAGGATATCTTTCCATATCTTTGTCTTCCTCAGTTTCTTTCATCAGTGTCTTACGTACAATGTCAGTGTATAGATCTTTCATATCCTTAGTTAAATTTCATCCTACATATTTTATTATTTTTTGATGCCATTGTAAATGAGATTGTTTCACTTTTTTCAGATAGTTCATTGTTTATATATAGAAATGCAACAGATTTTTGTATATTGATTTTGTATTCTGCAACTTTACTGAATTTTATGTATTAGTTCTAACAGTTTTTTGGTGGAGTTTTTTAGGGTTCTCTTTATATAAGATCATGTCATCTGCAAACAGAAAATTTTAACTCTTCCTTTCTAATTTGGATACATTTTACTTCTTTTTCTTGCTTAAATACTCTAAGACTTCCAGTACCGTGTTGAAAAAGATACGGTAAGAGTGGGCACCTTTGGCTTGTTCCTGATCTTAGAGGAAAAACCTTGAGCTTTTTACACTGAGTGTGATGTTAACTGTAGGCTTGTCATATGTGGCCTTTATTATGTTGAAATACATTACCTCTATATACAATATTTTGAGAGTTTTTATCATAAATGGATGTTGAATTTTGTCAAATTCTTTTCTTCTTCTATTAACATAGTCATATTTTTATCCTTAATTCCACTAAAATGGTGTATCACATTTACTGATTTGCATATTTGAACCATCCTAGCATCCCAGAGATAAAGCCCACTTGATAATGATGTATGATCCTATTAATTTGTTGTTGAATTCAGATTCCTAGGATTTTGTTGAAGATTTTTGCATCTATATTTATCAGGGATATTGGCCTGTAATTTTCTTGTCTTGTAATCTCCTTGTCTGGCTTTGGTATCAAGGTAATGCTGGCCTCATAAATTGAGTTTGGAAGCTTTCCCTCCTCTTAAATTTTTTAGAAGAGTTTGAGAACAATAGGTATTAATTCCTCTTTAAATGTTTGGTAGAATTCACCAGTAAAGCCATCAGGTTGGGTCTTTTTTTAATTAGGAGTTTTTGATTACTGGTTCAGTTTTCTTATTCATTGGTGATCTATTCAGATTGTCTATTTTTTCATGATTCAGTCTTGGTAGATTGTGTGTTTCTAGGAATACATTTCTTCTGGGGTATCCAATTGGTTAGCATATAATTGTTCATAATAGTAGTTTCTTTGATCATTTATATTTCTGTGTTATCAGTTGTAATGTAGCTCTTTCATTTCTGATTTTATTTATTTGAGTTTTTCTCTCTCTCTTTTTAATGTAGTTAAAGGTTTGTCAGTTTTTACATATTTTTTTAAAAACCATTTTTTTGTTGGTGATCTTTTTTTAGCTTTTGGTTTATTGCACTTGTTTCTGCTCTGATTGTTATCATTTCTTTTCTTCTAACTTTGGGCTTAGTTTGTTCTTACTTTTCTAGTTCTTTGAGATGTATTTAGGTGGTTTGAGATTTTTTTTTTAATGTACCCACTTGTTATTATCAATTTCCCTTTTAGAACTGCTTTTTGTATGTTGTGTTTCAATTTTTTTTTTCATTTTTTCTTTACCCATTGGTTGAGTTCTTGGTCTCTAGGTCCTTTCTTCCCAATGCTGTGGCTTTCTATAAACCTATAGCCTTCATCAGTACGTTGGTTCTTTCACAAACAAGTACAACTGATAGAAACCCCTGCTGTGATGCAGTGAACCTTGCCCAGGTAACACATACTTTCAGCTAGTTTCTGGCTGATTCTCCTCCACTTTTATTTTGCTTTCCAGTTTTATTTCTATTCTATAGAGATGGTTACCTCATTTGTGAAAGTAGCTATGTCTTATTTTTATTTTCTTCTTATCTTGTATGCCTCAATGGTGTGTATCTAGAAAAAGGTGGTATCCAATCTAATGTCTTACTTTTTTCCTCTATTAACTCTTTCTTCTTAGCTATTGGTTTTCTTTTTGGTTTTTTGTTTGTTTTTTAAAGATTTTATTTATTTATCTGAGAAATCACGAACGGCGGGGATGAGCAGAGGGAGAGGGAGAAGCAGACTCCCTGCTGAGCAGAGAGCCCAACATAGGGCTCGATCCCAGGACCCTGAGTTCATGACCTGAGCCAAAGGCAGATGCTTAACCACCCAGGCGCCCCTGGTTTTCTTTTTGAAAGTTTTGTTTTACTTACTAATTTTCTTTTGTTAAGTTTTGTTTCTCTTTTTCATGGACTGCATTTTTCTCCTATTTGATTATTCTTAATAGCAATGTTATATAGGATTAGAAGGGATGGATTGATGTAGAAAGAATAAATGCTCTGAAAGCTGAGCATTTGAGGTCTCCAAGCCTTTTTTATTGATATCCTTCTGAGGTTGAGCACAGCTTGACAATTAAGAGTAGCCAACAGGAAAAGCAGGAGAATAAATAGAATTTGGGGTCATATGCTTTGTATTCAAGTTTTAGTTAAGTATCTGGTTATTTTATATTTTTGGCAACATTTAAAGCATGACCTTATTCCTTTTTACTATTATTAAATATATTTGCCTCAATATATACTCTTTTGGAATAATCATATCAATTTTTTTGTTTTGTTTTTTACAGTATAAAGAAAAAAGCAGAGTTTGAGTCTGAAATCCAATCTTCGATGAAACTAAGGTCAAAAAACGATGAATTTCTTAAACAATTATACAGGGAAGCTTATCATCTTGGTGCTATTTTCCACCTAACCAAAGTTAAAACAGAGGAATTAGAAGAGAAAATAGCAGAAGTGAGAAGAAAATTCAAGGTTTGTATCTCTGTGTTCTGCTTAGTTGTAAAAAATGGTAATTAACCTCAGTTTTATTGATTTGTTGATGATAGTTTGATTTTAATTTAAGTTATAATAGCCTTTTAAAATAATTACTCCTTCTAACAAATCTGAATAAAATCATTTCTCTTCAGACGTCCAGCATGAATAGAAGAGGAATGGGGCTCAGTGTAGCTAATCAACATTTAACGTCTGCTTTTCGCTATTACTGACCATAAATTACCTGGATCACCAGAAGAATGGTGCTTGGTTTAAACTCATCCTGTGTATCTAATGTATAATAATAGTTCCTGCCTATGGGAAGAAGCATTGCTGGGAAGTGCCCTTGCACCTTACTAATATAAGAAAAGGGATTACCTACATCAGGCCTGCAAGTTACTGGATTCCTGAGCACCAAGCAATGCTTAGTAGACCACAGTGTTTCCACAGAAACAACTGCTCGTAGGCCACAAATCTATTCCTAGTGAGAAACATGATGAATAGCCACCCCCTGTCATTTGGTATAGACGCTAGCAAAGTCAACTCCATTTTGCCACACATAAAGGACCACTTTAACAGGCTTCTTCTGTCCATCACACATCATATTCACACTCCTTCCATCTTTAGCATTTACTTATTGAATACTTATTATCATACAATCGTTTGTAAAATTCAGAATCTGTGTTCTGTGTTCAGTGAAGACTTTCTCTTGTGCTTTCTAAATTTAGGACACTTAGATTGTCTTCCAATAAATGTTTCTATACCTGAGAGACTAGGATTTTGTTCCTACATTGAATCCAGCTGCTCGATGGACTTGGTGTGTTTTACCTCTATCCCTTCCCATGGATTCCTTAATGGGTTTTTTATGCCATATATGTTCCAAAATTAGTATGATAGAAACTATATGTATAGTAAAAATTAACCTCAAAGTTATTTCATTTTTTATCTTTATTTTTTTTTAAGATTTTATTTATTTGACAGAGAGAGAGACAATGAGAGAGGGAATACAAGCAGGGGGAGTGGGAGAGGGAGAAGCAGGCTTCCTGCTGAACAGGGAGCCTGACGTGGGGCTCGATCCCAGGACCCTGGGATCATGACCTGAGCCGAAGGCAGACAGTTAACGACTGAGCCACCAGGCGCCCCCGCCTCAAAGTTATTTTAAAAACATAAAGCATGTGATTATACATATGGTTTAGCATATATAATAACCCAGTAGATGTTGTTTTATATTATATTATATTAAAATTATATTCTTTAATTTTTCATTAGTCTGTGTTTCTCAATGGCCAATAATTAATTTTTTTTTCCACTGAGGATATCAGTGAAGACATCAACCCCTGATTTGGTCACTTAACAATGTTTCTTAATTTTTTCAATTGACAGGAAACCTTTGTTCACATATTTATCTCATAGCTGTCACAACCTGCCTTCAGTTCTTCAGCTATATGGCTTCACTAGCCCGAGGCACTCATCTATTAAGAAGGATGTTATATTGAATTGATTATTTTTTTTCTAAGTATTCCTGATGCCATAAAATACAGTTTATAGGTTGAGTGCAAATTTGATGTAACTCCACTGTTCTTGCTTTACCAACCTAAGGCAAAGTGTAAGTGTCCCCCTGGTTTTATTCAAGCAAAATTGAAGAAAGTATTAATCAGGTCCTTTCCCTACCCTTTAGTAGCTAAGACACAGAAAGAAGCAACAGAAAGAAATTATGCATTTTAGGAAATAATTCCCCATTACTAAACACTTACACTAATCTCTGAGCTGAATATATAGGGGATTAATTTTCTTTGATGTATCTGTGTCAGAGTGGTAATGAATTAAAAATAAATTTCTAGATAGTCCTTAGATAATTCAGGTTTGGAGTAATTCAGGTTTGTAGTTTTGCCTTTGTAATGACCCCACTGTCTTTCATTGACTAAGTAATAAAAATCTATTTAATTTTCTGAGTCTTGGCATCATGTTTTTCTTGCAGGTAACTTTGTATATTTGTTGATTCTACCCTTAATTCATGTCTTCTAGAAATTATAGCATTACCACATCTGAGCTAGCTTTGAGAAATAACCTTTTGAAACCTTAGAGGTAAAATTTCTGAGTTATGTTTCCTCAAATTAATGTACCTGTACAATCCTCAGTAAGACTTAGGCAGTCTTAGACTAGAAGCAACCCTGAACAATCAAGATATTTGGCAGTTTCTGGAATTTTCCAGCTATTACAGATAATTTGTCCCAATTTTTTCATACCTTCAATCCCGATAACTTACCTATTCAGAAAAGGCACGGTTAGCTAAGTCCCAGAATGAAATTATCCACAGGGATAGGAGATAAGTCAATAAAAGGGTAATATGTATTCAATTATGGTATTGACAGAATGAACAGAAAATCATTCAGTGTTGTCTGAAGAATGTAATATCATAACAAGAAAAATCTTGAAAGCTTATCAGATATTAAGTACTTCTCAATGTTTAAATAGAAGGTTTTTGTGCAAGCTGCAGGAATTTGGAGGGTTTTTTGAACATACTATAATTTTGGTGGAAAAGAAGAACATCAGGCCACTCTGGTTCTAGGTTAAAAATCATAGTACTAGAACTAAGTGAAACTTAGTAGAAAAGAAGAAAGGAAGTAGAAAGGAAGACAGTTTTCTGCAAGCCTACTGTAGGCTACTCTTTATACATGTTAATTCACTGTGCATAATACTGTGAAGGTGTTATTAATTTGTTCATTTTGGGGTGAAATGATTTGCCCAAAGTAGCATAGTTTTTAGGTAGCTGTGTAGAATTTGGGGACAAGGTTTTCTGATGCTGGAGTTGATATAAACTAGTCAGTCAGACACTAAGGAGATATATACTCCAACCAAAAAAGATTCATTCAGGCTCAAAATTTCAAAATAACCATATTAGGATCACCTTTTAGACTTTATTTTTTAGTATTAGGGTCCCCACAAAATTGAGAGAAGATACAGAGATTCCCCATATACCTCTGGCCCCCACACATGCATAGCCTCCGCCATTGTCAACATCCCCCACCAGAGTGGGACATTTTTTACCAAGGACTAACATATACTGGATAATCGTAATTACCTAAAATTTATAGTTTACATCACAGTTCACTCTTGGTGGTGGTGTGTACATGCCTAGATTTTGAACAAATATATAACAATATGTATCCATCATAGTAGTATCATACAGAGTATTTTCACTGCCTGAAAAGTTCTTAGTGCTCTACCTGTTCATCCCTTCTCCCTCTGATGGCAACTATGGCAACCACTGGCATTTTACTGTCTCCATAGTTTTGCCTTTTCCAAAATATCATATAGTTGGAATCATATAGTATATAGCCTTGTCAGATTAGATTGTTTCACTTAACTAATATGCATTCAAGATTCCTTCATGTCTTTTTTTTTTTAAGTTTTTATTTATTTATTTGACACAGAGAGACAGCTAGAGAGGGAACACAAGCAGGGGGAGTGGGAGAGGGAGAAGCAGGCTTCCCACGGAGTAGGGAGCCCGATGTGGGGCTTGATCCCAGGACCCCGAGATCATGACCTGAGCAGAAGGCAGCCGCTTAATGACTGAGCTACCCAGACACCCCTCCTTCATGTCTTTTCATGGCTTGATAGTTCATTTCTTTTTAGTACTGAATAATATTCTTTATCTGGATTGCCATAGTTTATTTATGTATTCACCTATTAAAGAGCATCTTGGTTTCTTCCAAGTTTTGGCAGTTATAAATAAAGCCACTATAAGTATCCATGTGCAGGTTTTTATGTGGACATAAATTTTCATCTCCTTTGGGTATGAGTGAAGGAACATGATTCCTGGATCTTAGTATATATTTAGTTTTATAAGAAACTGCCAAAGTGTCTTACAAAGTTACTGTACCATTTTGCATTCCTACCAGCAATGCATACATCCTTACCAATAGTTGATGTTAGTGATCAGGATTTTGACCATTGTAATAGCCATGTAGTGATATTTCATTGTTGTTTTTTAATTTACATTCCTGATGACAGATGATGTATAGTATCTTTTCATATGCTTATTTGCCATTGTATATCTTATTTGGTGAGTTGTATGTTAAGTTCATTACCCCTCCCTTAAAGTACTCCCTACACCCAACATGGGGCTTGAACTCACAGCCCCAAAATCAAGAGTCCCATGTTCTACTGACTGAGCCGGCTAGGTGCCCCAACATCTTTGGCCCCCTTTTTAACGTATTGTTTTCTTACTGTTGAGTTTTCAGAGTACTTTGTATATTTTGGATAACAGGTCTTTGTCAGATTTGTCTTTTGCAAGTATTTACTCCCAGTTTGTGGTTTACCTGCTCATTCTCTTGACTATGGCTTTCATAGAGCTGAAAGTTTTAATTTTAATGAACCCAGCTTATCGATTATTTTTTTTTTTCACAGATCATACCTTTGGTGGTGTATCTAAAATGTCATTGCCATATCCAAGATCATCTAGGTTTTCTTTTGTTGTCTTCTGAGAGTTTTACAGTTTTTTTTAATGTACATTTAGGTTTATGATCCATTTTGAGTTAATATTTGTAAAAGGTATAAAGTACATCTAGCTTCATTTCTTTTTGCATGTGGATGTCCGGTTGTTCTGACATCATTTGTTGGAAATATTGTCTTTGCTCCATTGTGTTGTCATTGCTTTCTTGTCAAAGATCAATTGATTGTATTTCTGTGGGTCTATTTGTCTCTTCTTTTACCAGTGCTGCACTGTCTTGAATAATGTAGCTTTATAGTATGTTTTCATGTTGAATGTGTTTATGCCTCTTCCTTTTTTCTTTGTCAATATTGCATTGGCTATTCTGGGTCTTTTACCTCTCCTTATAAATTTTAGAATCACTTTGTCGATAGCCACATAATAACTTGCTAGGATATTGGTAGTAATTGAATTGAATCTACAGATTGTGTTAGGATGAACTGACTTCTTGACAATATTGAGTCTTCCTATTGTTAACATAGAATATCTCAACATTTATCTAGTTTTT